TGAATAGTATTCGGTACGGTACGGTATTGATCGGTACCAAATACTTGATACCGCTACCATACCATACTCTATTGGTACGGTACGGTACGGTATCGAATATTGATCGGTACCGAATGAAACGGTATGAAATCGGTATGGTACGGTTCGGTTAGGGTACGGTTTCGGTATTTCGGTTTTAGATGCCCACCCCTAGTAATAAGTGATGATGGACATGTTTATGAAAAATTCGTTGGGTTACACTGTCACTAGTAGTGTCATATCTGCAATTTTATTCGGAAAATAAAACAATACAACAAAATAAACTATCACAAGGACGGTCTCAACTTTGTAAAAAAATAAAAAGAAAAAGAAAAAGAGAAAAAAGTATCGTCTCCAAAGAAAAAAAAACAGGGCGTAAAAAATACTATCAAAAGGATTTTTCTTCAGATGTCCTCAATTAACGAGATTTCATAATAATTTGGATTCCGGTCCCAACAGAAGTGTGCAGGCTTGACTCGGAATAAAAGGCATGGTCTTTCTGAAGACTTGTTTCCACTCCATTTCTTCCCGTTCTCTCTCAATCTCACACTCTCACTCTCACTCTCACTCTGTTGGCGAGCGCGTGTCAGTCGCTTGCGCCATCCATTGCGACGAACGCCTCCGTTTCCGGCAACGATCGGCTCTGTCCCTCAGGTAATCTCTCTTGAAGCTTCACTTCTCTGAATAGATATCGCCGTATCTATCTTCCATTCTTGTATTAGGGTTCTCTCTCTCTCTCTCTCTCTCTCTCTCTCTCTCTCTCTCTCTAGCATGCATGTGTATGTACTTGCGAGCTTTGTTTAAGTATCTGTGTAATTTTGAGATTTTGTGCTTAAATAATTTTTTTTTGGCCGTAGCAATGTAGATCGGAGTATAATGTTCACAAAAATCTGTTTCAGTGTGTCTTGTGCTTTTAATTTCACTCTCTCTCTCTCTCTCTAAAACCCTTTTTGAACCTTCTCTCTCTAGAATATTAGATCCGTCACATTTCTGTGCATGAAAACTTTGTGAAAATTTTAGGGCTTTTTTTTTTTTTTTTTTTTTTTTTGATTAAGTAGGGGGGCAAAGCCCCAAGAAACAGACTACACACACTGGTCTAAACGGACCAGTCTAGAATGAACAATTCCAAGCAAATCATCAACAAGATAAGCACTTAACCAACTAGGGGCATGCTCAAACACGCACAGCCCAAGATCCACTTGGTAACCCCAATTAGCCAATTGGTCAGCAACACCATTCTTCTCATGAAAAACATGCTGAAGGGCACAACTGGGAACCTGCTGCATAAGGTCACAACAGCTCCTAACCAAAGTAGCTAAAGGATGCACAGTAAGCATAGAAGAATTCTGACAGAGATTGATTGCAGTAGCTGAATTTTAGGGCTTTTTTATGTTTGCCTAACAACCTTCTTTTTGCGCTCTGTTTTGTTTCTAAGAAAAGAAGGTAAAGAAAAATAAAATGGACCTGTGTTTCCTGATATTTGGTTGAGGAGGTATTTTGGTGGCAAGTATTCCTATGTTGCCTATTAGTCTACTTCATTATAAAGTACAAAAAATGGAAGCAAAAAACCAGTTTTTCTACTTCTAGCAACAGATATGTTATATATTTTTGGGGCATTAGAATTTTCATTTGTAACGGATTCTTACAGAATTGTTTAGAAGGTACATTGAGTTCAAGACTGGCTCAATAAATTGAATGATGTGCTTTTCTTCAAATATTTGTGATCTTTGTAGTTTTATTATTTACCATATAAATGTATACCATCATCTTATGATTTGACACTTAATTTTGATATTTTAATGAAAGTGCATGTACATCATTTTGTTGTTTGTTTAGCATAAATAAAGTAGAATTCCAGCATTTTTAAGCTTACTATTTGTTTGACCTCACAAAACACAGATATTGATTAAATGATGACATAATCAATGTACTTTAATCATAACTAGGGTGGTCATACAAATGGGTCAAATTCAGGCATCTCTGAAACTGGAAAGGAAAAAAAAGGGACCACCAAGAACTTGAGGTGTTACAAAAGGCTGCATAAGTGTCTTTGGCAGAAAGCACTCTCGTTTCTCCAGAAGAAAGTAAGTACTAATAACATATGAGAGTGAGATTTTGTTTGTAGTTCATTTGTAAACTTGTTACGTCTCATGCATTTAGTAAATGTTTAAAAGTATTTTGATATACAAATGTTTCTTTAATTTCCAATTGTATTTAGAGAAAATGATTGAGAAGAAGTATACAACTACAAAGTTCACCCGACATGGATATGTTGAACTGCTAGAGACCCTTTTTAAAGAGCAGCATGGATTGTGTGTTTTCTATTGGAATGGGTGTGCTAACACTATGTGTAAGGCCAATCAATAATGGGTGATAAAAGTTGATATTAAAATATAACATTTTTATGTTTATTCTTTTCTTTATATAGAAGTATTATTATTTTAATATCAGAAATTATAGGCAACACTTACATAACTCATTTAATATGTTCCATTTGCAAAAGAATGACGAACTTTATGTTTTGGCTACAAATAAGGAGGAGCCTCTCCTGGGTTAGAAAAAGCTAGATTAGGTACAATTTTATTTTATGCAATAATACTTAAACACTTTGTCAGTTAATACCTAAATACTTTGTCACTTTCTTATTTTTTTCTATGCAATAATACTTAAACACTTTGTCACTTAAACTATTTCATTTCATTTTGTAACTTTCTCTACTTTAAGAGATATTTGTTTTTAAAGTCTGAGTATCGGGCAGCCTAAGATTTCAATAGTAGTTGCTTTTTTGGATGAGTTAGGTTGGACATATTTTTAAGGATGCCATGCTTTGTGGCAAATTGAAGCAGGTAATCCAACCTATTAAAATGAAATTGGAGATAGTGGATAAAGAAAGTCTGGGCGATGTAATTGACTTGCTCGGGCAAGGGTTTCATTATGATCTTATTGTCTTGAATTATAGTTTCGTGAAATAAAAAAGGGCTAGAGACAACGTAAGAAAGAACTTTTTGATTTTATAACTGCTTTAGTTATTACTATTTCACTATGCGGGCTCTAATGTTCTTTAGTTGCTATTATAATATATGACAGATATGGGTGAAAAGCTTGAAGAAAGAATGATTCATTGGGGAGATGGCAGCCCTTGTTTGGCCTGAAGATGTGCCTGATAATGAATTTGACTCTTTAGTCGTCATTGATAGATATATTGACATAGATCACGAAATTGGACTTACACTGGTTCGATCAGATTGTATGGACGAGCTTGATCAATTTGCAGATATATTTGTTGGATTGATCAAACAGACAATTTGGAACCGGGAAGTTGTGTGGGCGGATGATTTTTTTGTGAATTAATTCATAGAAAGATCGTCTGTCCACTCAACTTTACGGTTCCAAATTGCCTGTTTGATTAATCCAGCAAATATATCTGCAAATTGATAAGGCTCGTCTATACAATCCAATCGAACCAGTGTAAGTCCTTTAATTTCGTGATCTATGCCAATATATTTATTAGTGACGACCAAAGAGTCAAATTCATTCTCAGGCACATCTTTAGGCCAAACAAGGGCTGCCATCTCCCCAATGAATCCTTCTTCAAGCTTTTCACCCATGTCTATCATATGTCGTAATAGTAGCAAGAGAACATTAGAGTCCGCATAGTGAAATAGTAATAACTAAAGCAGTCATAAAATCAAAAAAATTCTTTCTTATCTTGTCTATAGCATTTTCTTCTTTCACGAAGCTATAATTCATGACAATAGGATCATAATGAAACCCTTGCTCGAGCGAGTCAATTACATCGCCTAGACTTTTTTTTATCCATTAATTCCAATTTTATTTTAATTAGTTGGATCACATCCTTCAATTTGCCGCAAAGCATGGCGTTCTTAAAATATGTCCAATCTAACTCGTCCAAAGAAACAACTACTATTGAGATCGCAAGCTGCTCAATACTCGGATTTAAGAACAACTTTCTCTGAAAGTAGAGAAAATTACAAAATGTAATGAAATAGTTTAAGTGATAGTGTTTAAATATTATTGCACAGAAAAATCATAAGAAAGTGAAAATGTTTAGGTATTGACTAACAAAGTGATTAAGTATTATTGCATAAAGTAAAATTGTCGCTCATCTAGCTTTTTCCCCAACAAGAGAGGCTCCTTCTCATTTGTAGCCAAAACATTGAGCTCATCATTCTTCTGCAAATGGAACATATTCAATGAGATATGGAAGTGTTGTCTAGAATTTCTTATAATAAAATAATAAAACTTCTACATAAAGAAAAGAATAAACATAAAAGTGATGTGTTTCAATATCAGCTTTTGTCACCCAATATTGACTGACCTTACACATAGTATTAACACACTCATTCCAATAGAAAACATACAATCCATGCTCCTCTTTAGAAAGGGTCTCTAGCAGTTCAACATATCCATGTCGGGTGAACTTTGTAGTTGTATACTTCTTCACAATCATTTTTTTTAAATACATTTGGAAATTAGAGAAACATTCGTATATCAAAATACTTTTAAATATTTATTAAATGCAGGAGACATAACAAGTTTACAAATGAACTACAAATAAAATCCCACTCTCATATGGTATTAGCACTCACTTTCTTATGGAGAAACTAGAGTGCTTTCTGTCAAAGACACTTGTGCAGCCTTTTGTAACACCTCAAGTTTTTGGTGGTCCCTATTTTTTCCTTTCCAATTTGAGAGAATTTTCGTCGCAGTAAAATCTTCAAATCCTTGGCCAATCTCCATAGCATTAGAACAAGCATAGCAAGGGAAATGTTTTTGGTTCTTGGACTTCGGCCAAAAAGTGGACGGAGGTGCCTGAAACACGACCAAAACTGCCGACCTCTTAAATCTCAAATCAACCCAAACTATGTATACAATTAGCAAGAGCACGAAGATTAGATTGAAATCCATACTTGGATCGATGTCAACGGCCATGGTAGTCGTCAGAATTGGCGTTGTAAAGCGAAACCTTCATTCTCCCTTTTTGAGCTCACGTCGGTGTCTTGAGGAGCTGGGGAGGTTGGGCTTTGGTCTAGACATCGTCACCGGTCGGTGGCTGTCATTTTTCGACCTGTCTCGTTGTCGGAGGTGGCTAGACGACGATGTTGTGTCATCGAGAAGACGAACAGCACAATGACTGTGTCGAAGGGGAAAGAGAGACGCGGGGAAGGAGAGAGAACCTGGGGGTTTCACGGGTGTGTGAGAGAGTTGGGTATTTAACGTTTTCAAACAATTTCACTAATTCCTGATACGTCCTTTCCATTTTCTCCTTCATTATAACTCGGAATTGATCTTGCCGCCTATCTACGAACTCGTATCATTGAGCTATACATAACGGTGCAGCTCAATTCTCCAAAATTCTTTCCGAACATAAAGTGACTAAAATGCCCCTACCCATAAGGGCAAAAATGTAATTGTACAATTAAATAATTAAATAAACTTCTTAATTGGCTCGGGGTGTTACATAGACTTTACCGGTCTTCCACTAGCAATGAGTGACACTTAGCAACATATCGTGGTTACCAAAGCTAAATAGAATTCATTGGAGAATCTAGTTGGTTGTAATTGCAATGCAATCATGTTCTTCTCTATAACAATACTCTATATCACATTGTCAGGATACAGTTAACTCGTATCAAATCCCCAATGTGACATTTCTAGGTTATATGATTTACTTGGATGAGATTGCAGACTTTACAATTGCAATTATATTCGATACTTTGGCCAAAAATTCAACAAATTAAATTTCTAGAATATTCTATCTTTATACTAAAAATAGAGATTCTTTGTTGTAAATTCACATGCCTCTGTGAGCATGTCGGATGTCCCGATGATTACCTTTAAGCCATATCCCTCAACGTGACCGTATAGTAATCTCAAAGATAAATTACTCGTCCACAAGACTAGGGATCATCATTTGGCCCACAGCCGATAGGCCAAAGCCTAGCCTGACTCGACCCGATGGTTAGGCCCGCTCGATCCGACTCGCTCTAAGAATGGGTAGGGCTTGGGCTTAGCATTTGAAACCCTCGGCCTAGCTTGGCCTTGGCCCAGGCCTGACCATTTATGCCCTTCCTTTTTTAAGATTTAATTGATGCACTCGATAACCTCACGTTATACTTAATCAAAATAATGTAATATGTATGATAAACAAATAAAATTCTTGTTTTGTTTACACATGTTCTATATTAAGTTAATTTTTTCAATGTTGTCTTAAATTTTGTAACAAACAAGCAATATATAAACTATATCTTTTAGTGCCCTTTTTTTGTCACGTTCAAATTTAATGGTTCAATAAGAATTTGAAAGCTTAGTATGGTTTTATTAATTTTAATGGCATAAATTGCTTTAATTTTCATAATGTCAATCCTAGTTTGGGATAGAAGTAACACATTTTCATAAGAATCATTTTTAGGTATAATATTTTAAAAATATTTTGGGTATTGGTCTAGGTTTAGTAAAAGAGTTTGGCTATTATATTTTTGTTTTCTGAAGTTATGTAGTAATCTATATTATTATTTAAGAGAAGACTTGTAACATCCCGAAAAATTTAGGATTTATTATCCTATTTTGTTTAAAAAATAATAGTACGATATAACTTGTTTCTCATTATTTTGTAGAATTTGGAAAGTTATACATAAATATATTTGCAATTTTAAAAGTACCAAAATGGGTAGTTATGCAACACATGGAGCGCGCCTCCACAATGAACCTTCTATATTGAGTTTGAAGAATATTCAAACACACTCACCACTAGAAAACCTTCACTCTAGCCGGAATTTTTCCATATTGTCATCCAAAGGTCAGAACCTATATGATCGCTAGAAGGGGATGTCGTGGCATCCGCTGAACTACCAAAAATAAATTATTTCTAATTGTCTTCGATTATGTCTCATATAATTCTTGCCTTCTACAGAAGTGTTATTTTTCCTGCAACAAATCTTGTACAATGTAATTTTGTAATTTGGTCTACTTCATCATCTCAAAAACATTATCACATGCTTATCCTCTTGAAATTGATATTGTTCCTTAGAATGAGTAATACCCCTACGTGCTAAATTCAAAGGAACCAACAATTTGCATTTACAAGTAGCATAACTTAGACCAATCTATGATAAGAGTTTGATTCTCATATTTTCCTCTCTCCAATTAATATATAGGGCTAACGTCATTTCTCCCTTAGATGTTTGGGGTCATTCTCAATATGGATCATCGGGTTTCAATTTCATCAATTTACATTCAATGATTTTTAAATTTGACCAATTTAAGCCTTCCGTTAAGTTGATCATTTACATTAATTGAAGACGTGTCCACTATGGGACCAATCCCACGCACCGACTGTAACAACCTAGTCCTAAATAAATTTTTAATTATTAATTTATTATGGTAAAAGACTATTTTGCCCATAGAATATTTTATTAGTATAAAAGTTGACTTTTTGACCAGGAAGAATTTTGAAAATTTTAATTGGACCGTAGACACGTAGTGGGCTCGAATCGGAACTTGTAAAAATTTCAAAGTTGGATTTAAAAAAAAAAAACAGAACCTCCTCTCTCTTGGCTCTCTCTCTCTCTCTCTCTCTCCCCGACACTGTCTCTCTCTTCCTTCGATTCTCTCAACTCCGGCCACAACAAGGGCTGGCACCGGTCCTATTCGAACAGGCTCGAGCCCACGATCACGAACCACTACTTTTCTTGGCTGGAAAACTTGAGTGGGTAATTTGAGGTCGTGGACCCCACGGGGTCCCGGGTTGACCGTTATGGTAATTTATCGCTTATCAAGTCTCGGGTCTTTTCAGACCGTTCTAATCGCTAGAAAGGTTGAAAATGGGCCTAGGAACTTTTCTAAATTTTGCACACGCACTTTTAGAAGTCGGGGGTCAGGGTTTTGGATTAAACAGTTATGTTGAGCAATTTTATTAATTAAATATTTTAACCTAAATAGGTACTCGGTCTCCGTCAGACCCACATGAGGGACCCTCAAAGGGTCAAGCTAGCTCGGACGCCCAGTGAGTGGACTTTTGTTTTAAAAATGAATTTTCTGCAATTAAACTTTCATGGCTTGATTTTTATGAATTGTTTAAGACCATTACTTTCTGAGCATGAATATTTGTATTTAAATATTCCTTAATTATATATTGTTATGTTTAAATGTGAACGGCTTGGAAAGTAGGAATTGAGGTGACAACCGGATTTAATGGTTTGAATAATGTATTAAATGGTAGTTTTCTAAGTAAGGCATGTTATTCTATTTAAACAACCATAGGTACCCATGTTGCCTTCGGTTATAATGTTTGGAATGTTGTTGCCTTCAGATTATTGTTGCTTTCGGTTATGTCAGCGCGTTTGACAGTTGCCCCACGAGTCTTAGGGTTATCCGGACCGTGAGGAGCGAGGATGCGGCTCAGGTTGACCAAGTGTCCCCTGAGTCTTACCGAGGCCTGCAAGGATGTGTCACATTACGTGACACAATGAATTGACGATATAATGTGAGAAATGAATATAAAGATCATGGAATTGACAGATATATGATGGGTACACTTAGGTGGAAAGGAATCAATACTTTAGAATGCTTTCAAATGTTTTTGATGATTTGTTTGAATGCATGATCAGTTATATGTGTATATAGATATGCATGCTTGAATTTTTGAGAAATTGCTTAAATTAATTCAACTAGTATTGCTCTGAGAAATTGCCCTAGGATTGTTGTAAGGCTTGAGGTCGTATAATTCTGTTGCTGGATTGCTTAAATGTAAACTTGATGCATGCTGAATGTTGGGGTTATAAAATTGCTTTTTGTGCATGTGTAAATTTTTGGGTTTCGTGCATTTACAGGGGAGACTCTGCGAAATTTTCGGCAGAAGTCAAACCTTAAAGAAATTTTTGTTTTGTTAGAAGAGCAATTTGGTCAAGTGTTGGCACCTGCCAGGTGTTGGGCACACACAGAGTTCGGCGTATGTTCGTACCACTTTTACAAAAATCAAAGGAGATAGTATCGTATAGTAGTGTAGCTCGGAAGTCCGAGTGTCGTATCCACAGAGAGCAGTGTAAAGAAAATAACAGAGATGAAAAAGAACAAGTGTGATTGAGAGGTAGATTTATGCAAGATTTGATTTAGAGAAAATTTAATTGATTAAAACACTAAGGCATTGGGTTTCCACTTTTAACATAAACATGCAACTCTTAATAATTTGATCCACAAAATATTTTCCATTGTAGTTGTTCAAAAATAATTAAAGCTCTTTTTAATTTCCTTTAGAAGTATTCTAAGCATAACTTGTACCATTGGCAACAAACTATCAAAAAATAATCTTCATCAAAATTCTATTAATCTTTAGTAATTCTCTTCTCTTTTAAAAGCATGAAAGTTTTTACTACACTATGGGAAAAACATGATTGAACCCATGAAATA